GGTGAAAGAGCCTGCTGTGGCTCCTTTGTCTCAGAGATGTGCTGTCATACTTTGTCCTGGAGGAAGGTTAACAAGCGAGATTCCTGTGTTTTCTCAGAGGAAGGTGGTATTTGCAAGAGTCAAGCCAGTCGATTTGATACACTGCAAAGCTGTGTTTTTAAAAGAAGAGATTCAAGTGTGACATACCAGAGCTTGTGCTCTCTCTCATGTGCCAACAGAGTGGCAGTGCTGAAGTAACTTCATTGTTAGTTCAGCCTTGAATAGAACTGGAAATGTTGTTTATTCCTCTGTCCTTCAGGTAGAGAAATTATCACCTGGTCAGTCAAAGTACATAGAAAATATACCTGTTAGTGGAAGAACAGTTATTGCTGTTAATGCTCTCTGAAATTCCAAGTTAGCACAGTTTTGTCTGATGAACAGTTAATTTCTTCATGGCTAAAATATACTTTCCCATATATTTTCTTAAGCCATGTCAAGTAGTTGTAAGTTGCAAAACATGTTAATTGTAGTTAAAGCTCTTGCCATAACTGATTTGAACAAAAGAATAATCCAAAATGGGATGTATTTCTCTTGAAAGAAAAAGATACTTCCCAGATTTTACAGCTGTGATTCAATGCTTTTGCTTAACAAGATGACAAAATAATTTAGAAGGAAAATCACATAGTAAAACTGTGGTTTTGTTTTGTTTCTGCTAACCTTGTCAGTGAATTCAGAGGTGTTTTTGGGGAAAAAAACCTGCAGTCTTCCCATGAAAAATTGGCTTTGGACAGAGTTAAAATTAACATATGTCACTTTACATTTGTCTGTCTTGATACTTGCAACAAGCTTTTTGTGTCATCTGAAAAAGTGAGACATATTTTTGCCTTTTGATGTGTGAAAGGGGTTAAAGATGACCAGTGCTGATGGCCAGCGATGTGTTGCATTGTGAGTTGTTTTTTCCCAAAAGTTGTTTTTGTGTATGTGCACTGCATATGCCAGCTTTGTGTTGTGTCTCCAAAGTGCACAGAGGCTCAGTACTGTTCTTAAAATGTTTTACTGAATTTATAGAGTGCCCCTATTTAGAAAAGCTGTACTTTAGGAGAAGGGATGTGTATCAATTAGTTTGACTTACTAAAAATAAAATTTTATAGAACTTGGCATTTGAGTTTCAAATCTATGGCCTGTATCCTCCAAACTATGAGCTGCTATTAAGAATTCCCTTGGAAGAGACTCTTGCCTTTTTTTGGGAGGCAGGCTGCTGTTAGGATTGATGCTGCAGTCTGTTTTTAGTACTTGAGTGCAAATGAGGCTATGGGTGAGTCTTGGGAATCCTAATCTGCAAGTAATTCCCCACTTACTATGTTTTAGGGTTGTGTGTTGACTCTGTAAGAAGATACTGTTTCCTGTTAGCTCACCCAAATGCACCTGCTTTCTATGGAGCTGACCTCTTTAATATTTGGAAAGACCTTTCCAGATGTAATGTCTGTGAAAAAGGGTTTTGAAAGATTGAAATGTGTCTGCCACTAAAACTGAGGGGATATATCATCTTTGTTTAAGTTTGGATGGAGAAGAGGGGAAAGAGAAAAGGACAGCTGCCCTGCAGTGATTATAAAATTTATAGGGTTTTGATAAACATGAAAAGGAAAGGTGACTATGATTTTTGTTTAATGTCAACAAATCTCATGACCTCATAGGAAGCTTCTGCTGAAATGACTGGTTCACACAGCCACAGGAGGGGGAAACTGAAATACAGAAGTAGCATTACAATGGAACAAGTAGACCAGAAGGCTGTATTCTGGGGTCTGATGTCCAAATTACTTGAATTTTGGCTTACTTGTTTCCTATGAGCTTAAATTAGATTACTGATTTAGATGTTTCAGTACAGGGCTAATAGCATTGCTTCTGTTTGTGGTCTGTCATCTCTTCTCAAGTTTACTATATGTGTAAGTAGGTGAGGAGGCACAGAACATTAGTGGTGGTATAAGTTTTTTATCTTTTTAAACTGTTTTGAACCCTTCACTAATTAAAACTTTGCTTCTCTTTTCATTTTGTGATATATTGACATATACCATATAAGTCAAATTTGTGAACCACTTAGCTTGGGAGTGGCTTGTGTTTTTTAAACCTTCAGATATTCATATATCAGACTAAGGAAATAATTGTTGTTTTGGAGATTGTTTTTGGGAAAACTTTTTTTTTTTGCTTTGTTTTTCTACGTGGTTTGATCTGCCTACAATTTTTGGGCATCTTCACTTACTATGTTTGCTGTTGCTTTAGAGACTTTAAGCATTGCTGATACTGTCTCTTCCCTTATCTCCTAGATAAGATAGATTTGAGTCCTTTGTTCTACAGCTCTTAGATCTACTGAGGGAAGTGACTTGGTGTGAGTGTGTGTCTAGGGAGGCACAGAATGCAGTGGATGCTCTCTGGGTTCTTTTTGTAAAGCTGTGACTTTCCACAGTCTCTCTGCTTACAGAAACTGGATTATTTTCAAACTTTGCAATAGTTAAGTAATTTTTATAGAATTGAATAACAGACTTAATAAAGATATTAATTAAAATATCTCTGCTTTCAAAAATATGCCACTTAAAAGGTTGAGAGACATACAGTAAGAAAATGAAGCGTGAGTAACCACTAAGGTTATGTATATACACAGTTACACTTAGAATTGCTCAGTAGAGGACTAGAAAATAGGTTGAAAATGAACATCTGACAAAAAGTCCTCCAAATGGAAATTCCTGCAGGAGAACTTCATTCTTGAGATTAATTAAATGAAAGATTAGAAATTCTCTAGATAGCTGTAAGCTATTTAATAAAACTGAAGTAAGCAATTAAAAGACTCAGTTGTAGTTACTAGCAGAGGCATTGCCTCCTTTTAATGATCCTGCTGCTGCCCCCCCTCCCCGTTACATATGTTCTCCCTCATTTTACAGGAAAGCTGTATGGGAGCTCATTGATGCTAGATGCTTTCTGCAGAACCATCTTCATAAAAAGCATCCTTCTCTGAATAAGGGTAATGCAGATAATAACTTCTTTATCATTGAAAGCACATAGGCAGTCCTGAGAAAACAGAAATAAAAGTGCTTTGTAGAAATTATACTAATGAAATGTGTGTGAGAGAGTAGCTTGAAAGAGAAACCTGATTAACATCTGAAACTTCAGCTAACATTCATCTACCTTTGAATAGAACTTATGTTGCCAATAAAGCTACTTTGTCAAATCTCTGGTTTCTATTTCTAAGTTACATTGTTGTAAGCATTTTCCAATCCACCTCTTTACAGTATTTTTTTTCCCCTTTGTCTTCCAGACAAACAGATTAATTCTAACTGTTCTGGGAAACGGGTGTAGTTACTCTGGTATCTGCAAAAGACATTTCCCACTGAAGTCTTTCATATTCATTCTGAATATATTTTGTGTTCTGGTGTACCAAATAATTGTGTGTAGTTGTATATAATAAACTAGAATGTCTATGTGACCAGACTTCTGTCCCTCATGTGAGGGCAGTGTGTGATAGCAAATCAAGTAATTGTGTTAGGGAGAAAGGTATGTAACTGCAGATTGGCACTGGATTTCCCAAAATTGAAGTAGTTGCCGTAGTTCAGCAGAATTAGTATCCCACAAGTAATTAGGAAAAAGAAAAAAAGATAGAAAAAATTAATCCTTATATGTATCAAGTAGTGCTATTATAATAATTTTAGGTTGCTTCAAAATAAGATACTACTTAAGTCATTAAAGATAAGAGCACTCTATGATTAGATTTTTTTTTTTTTAGAAGTGTTCATTACTTGCCACGAGAAAACAGATGTGGTCTCAGATAAAATAAAGATGGGCTGATACAGTAGTTCTGAAGGTAAACCTATTAATGTTATTTTTCTGCTGTAAACAGAAAGCCACATTCTAAAAGTCTGCTTTCCAGACTTTAATGTTTATTGTTACTGCTCAGAAAAATGCCCAGTGAAACTTTTTGGCAATGTATAGATAATCCTTATTTTCATAGCATAATATAATTAACATATTGTACATGTCAGATGTATCTGTACACATAAAATATCATCATATTGGGTGTGTACTGGACAAAAAGATGGAGTTATAGATTTTAAAATTCTGTAGCAATAAACCCATGTTTTACTACAGAATATATTTGAAGAGTATTGCAAGATTTTTTGAAATAATGTTTGAGAAGCAAATACCAATGTTTACAGTTCCTCTTCAGGAGTGATGAGGAAATTTATTTTGTATATTGTTTTTATATTACACTTAATTTCTGTCAAACCATGTCATACATGCTTGCACTTCAAAAAAATGTTGAAATGTTCTGTTGACTTCTTGAAACTTTTTTTTGGCAACTTGACACTTTCCATTTATTTTGTCGCTTGTTTAACAGTTTTTGTGTGTGTTTTCAAAAGCACTTCCATTCACCATTCAAGGAATTCAATGGAATTCTAATAGGAACTGCACATAAATAACTACAGAAATCAATGCTTCAATTCAGCCAAGAGTTTTTTTGTGACTTCAAAAGCCACAAGAGCATTTATTATTAGAAACATACAATTGACTTTTCTTGTATTATCATTTTGCATAGTGATTTGGTTTTTACCACCACAACAAGATGTTTGACAGTTTCATTTGAAAATGATGTATTTACATTGAGTATTCCAAAACAGTGTAATTTTTATCCTTTCTCTGAAGCTCTGTTCGTGTTAATTTGCATGTTCAGCTCTGTGCAAAGGTTGTCAGTGAAATATTCACTGGTGGGTTTCTCCTTAGAGGTCAACCAAATATTAAGCATAGTCTCTTATTCCTGTATGGTGATGAAAATACAAAAAAAAATCTTTAAAGAATGGAGTTGTTGGGTTCATTTTTGTCTGTTCAGTTCTTACAGTGTAAAGCATATCCTCTCCTCTGAAGTGTTCAATTTGCTGACACTAACAACCACCCTGTGATGGTGCAGGGTTGTCTTGGAGGTAATTCCAGCCTTTAGTGTTCAAATTACAACTCAGACCATGTCATCTGGAACAGTCCTTTTCATCCTGAAGTTTTCAGGTGGGTTGTAGAAAGTGAGCTGATCTCCAAGGAGGTGGTTTGAGCACTCCAGAAGCTTTAGAAAATTGCTGCTGGTTTTTTTAAGTAGCCCAAAGATGATGTGACATGAAATACAGGACTCTGTGTCAGTCATGCTCACGGCCTTGCCAGTGAACCCCCTTGAGTGCTGCAGTTTTTAGACAACCCTTGCACACAGTTTCTGTCAGGTGATAGAACAGTGTTATCACCTTGGGTGGAGAGCACATCCAGAAGGAAACAGAGTTTTTTCTGGTTGTCAGGAGGGTACTCAGATTAATGGATTTTTCTGCATTCAAGTGTTACTTTTCACTGTTGCTGAGAGTTCAAAGAAACAAAGTCAAGCTACCAGCAGGACATTTTAGATGACAGTAGCCTTCCCCCACCCTCCCAGCCTCCTAATTCCAGCCAATCTGGTTCTGTGTGAGGAGGATGAAGTGGTGTTAAGCACTTTTTTTATGGAACTTCATCTTGTGAATCAACTGGTGCTGAGACTTGTCACCCAACAGTCCAGTTATCTTGAGATGGAGAACCACAGTCCGTCCTCACCTACCTTGTCACATGAGCAGGTGCTTTTTGTGGATGCATGTTATGGCACTTTAAAAATACTTCAGCTAGGTGGAGAGATAGGGGAGCATGGCCTCTCTCTAGTCTTTGCCTGTCCTAACCTTTGGAGTGGAAAGATTATTCAGATAAAACTTATACTGCACCTTGAGAAGAAGTGTTTTAATGGTGATAAGGGAAAGAGAGGCAGGGTAGAGCATGGTGAAGAGCAAAGCTAGTAACACTGTCATAACTGCAGATCCATTAGTGTTCACTTGGAATTATATGCATTTAGGATTTGAGTGCTGTTGTGGTGTTATCTTAAAAAAAAAAGAAAAAAGAAGGTTAAGAAAATGAAGTCTGAATTCTGCTGGTTCTTCCTCAAAGTTCTTCCCCATTTCCTTTTCCACTTCTGTGTAATTCAGATTGCATTTGAGTCAGCTGCTTTCATTTGACACTTATGTCATTCAAGCATCCCCAAAGTTAGCATGTTAATATCTGCATTTCAGCTGACTGATAGGTACACCAAAACCTATCTTAATTTTGTCACTGCAACATGAAGCTTCTTTTAATTTCCCAAGTTGTTCAGCATTTACTGAACAAGATAATGGAATGTTGCTGGCACAATTTGTAAACCTAATGTCTGAAGTTTATTAAACAAGGTTTTCTTCCTGAAACACACTCTTGCCCTTCCTCCATTCTTGTAGGTGCTTGGAATTTAACAAGTTTATAAGCCAGAGTGGAAGAAATAATAATAAGGGGCATCTAAAAATGGTTTTGTTAGGGTAACTTGGATCTTCTAAATGGCGAAAAGGATTTTAAATTTGTCTGCAAGCAAGCATTCCTCTGTATTTTTAGGTTTGTGTGTCTTCTGCTTCTTTATGAAGCACAGCTCATGACCAGAAGGAAGACAAACCAGACATCTCATGGTACTTTTGAAAATGTTGTGTGTATTATCCATCCTATCTTGAACTCCTGGTGTTGCATAGCCAACCCCAAATGTATCAGCAGAAAGGAGAAAAACATCTGTAATTTGTTTTGAATGCAGAAAGAAGAAACAGAAGAGGGGAAAAAACCCCAAACAGAGAGGAGATGGGGAAGACTGGGAGAGAAATGGTCTTTCCAGCTCTTGCAAGTAGGTGGCAGAAAACCTGAAGCGTGGAGGTATTAAAATATATTATTGGTGTGGAGCAACAAAGCTGTTATTGCTTGATACAGCACACTGTGTTTCACAGCTCCACACTGTCATGTAATGCCTTTCATTGAACATTGTTTTGCAGTATATATGTACCCTGTTTGTAGAACAGGTAGTTAGAAATTCACCTCCGAGACAATAATATAGTCCTAAATTTGGACTAAATCCTTCCCTTAGCACTTTACTGGGTTTTGTACCCATCATTCCTTTTCCAGAAGCACTTTCTTCTTCCAAGGCGGTTTATGTCCCTACCATTTCTTAAAACTGAATCTAATATATGGATAAAAAATTGTGTTTAAAAGTGCTTGCAAACTGTAATACATTCAGTTTTTGCAGTCTTGAGTGAAGTGATCTGAATTCTTTCTGGTTTATCATTATTGTGCTTTTTCAGGTGTTTCATTTTGGTGCTGCTTGGTACTGGGAACAGTCTCTTGACTGTTCTGATTTGACCTGCATCTGATTTTGAAAGCTTAAAAATGAATCTGTTTGAGCTTTTGCAATGCTGAGCATCATGAGAGGACCTTCATCTGTCCCGTGGGCTGTGGCGCCTGACTAAGCATCCTCATATGAGGAATTCCCTCTCTACAACAGCATGACATAGTTGGTTTATGTTTGTATCTTATGACCTGCTAAAAATATCCTCTTTCCTTCCCACTTACCTTCTAAGATCCTCTTCAGCAGAATTGGTGTATAACCAATTCAATTTCATTGTATTCAATTTCTGTATTTTTGCAGTGGATCATGCTGCTTGATAGAATATAAAAATTGTCCAAAAGAAACGTATGTTTTCAGGAAATAGTTTTCTACTTCATTTTTAAGAATAAATGTTGTTCTTATGTTCCGAAGACACTAATGGCACTTTAAGAATGTGGGTTTTTCCTACATTTAAGAATGCATTCTAGGAATGAAGTAGATCTTATGTAACTTTCTGTAAATGACTGGATACAGTGTCCATGAGAGGTTGTGAAAACTACTGGGATCAGAAGAGAAAGCATAAGTTGTATCAGAAGCTGACCAAGAACAACACTGTAAACAGTTATACTACAAAAGCATAATTAGTTGTGCTCTTCAAAATTCAGTCTTGAAATTAATCCTGTCTCATTGTATTAATTAATAATCTTGGTGCAAGAATTATGTCTCCTCTTATTAAAAGCTGTAGATTACAAAGAGTTCAGAAAATTTTTTAGTAATCAGAGGACTAGATTGTCCTGTAAGGAAAATAAGATAAACTCGTAGATTTGAGTACTAAAAGAATGGATACAATTTAATTATATAAAATTGAATTTTTAAGGCATAAGAACATTTCTTTGCTTTTAGGAATCAGGAATTGATAAGTAGGAGAGGAATTTGGAAATGCTGACAGTAATGTAAGTAACAGCTCACAATACCAGGCACAGGCAGGGACAACCCACCTAATAGTTATCTGTGGTTCACTGTAAGAGCAGAATGTGTCAAACAGTTTCTGCACCTGGTCTGCCTTGGCTAATGATCTTGATTGCTGGCCTTGGTAGCAGAGGAGAATTGAGGGTAATGTGTCTGAACTTTTACCCACAGCACAAATTAGGGGTGACTGTAAATATGTTGGAAAAAAAGTTTCAGTGCAGAATTTTTAAATTTTTGTTGGCAAGGTTGTCAAGGTAAGGTAGAATCAAATGCATTAGTGACTATAGAACATGGAGTATGTTTTTAAAAATGTGTTTGTAAAGCTGTTTTCTAAGAAATAGTCTTTTAAGACAGTTTCTCTTGTGCAGTTTTTTTCCAGACTCTCTTTACTTTTTATAGAAGAATGCACCTAGAAGGAAAGAGCATTCTTTGAAAGGTCTTAGTTTTAAAAAGAAATTACATAAATTGGATTTCTGCTGATGAGACACATTTACAATTTTAGTATCAATATCAGAAATTCAATTTTAACAGTATATTACATGTAAATATCTTGACTTACTGAGCTTATGACAACAAACTGAAATAATGACTTCTTACTTCAGGATGTTTGTGCTGAAACCAGCTGAGATTATAAAAGAAATTCTAGTTCTGTTCCTATTCCTCTGGAAAAGAATGCTGCTACTTAATGCCTTATTAGGACAGACAAAAGGCTGATCAACAGGAGCATCTGGATCTGACTGTCAAATGACCTGGTGTGGCAATATCACTAATTGCAGCTCACTCTTAACATTTGTGTCCTAGTTCAGATTCACAGCATTTACAGTAAGATTATCAGACTGCTATGCTTTATATATGTATTTAAAATATGGAGGGAAAATAGAAAGGGGGAAAAAATATTTGTTTCTGAGCAATTGATGTAATTTATTAATTTTGAGGAGTAGATCATGTGCTTTAGAGGCTTTAGTACGTCTACTCTACAGACTGGTTTGACTGTCTTGAGCAGTTTTTTCGATGCTGACAAGTGTGCTAAGATGAGTTGATCACCTGTGTTTTAAACCTTAAGGATATTTGGAATGCTTTTGGTGGTTTGTATGTCTTGTATGTGGCATATACCAATATGAATTCTCATAAAGTATTCTTTTAATTTTTTTGTTTAGTTTATCATTTTAGTAAAATGCTGAACTGTCTTTCCTTCAGAATTTCCATTCCTACTTGTGTTTAGTCTCATGTGACCTTCTCAGATCAAACCTATTACAATACAATACAAAAAAAAAAAAGGTACAGGATTTGTCTTCATAGGAATTTCTTGTAAAATAAAATTCTGCTAACAAACAAAATCATTATTTCAAACCTGTTCTTGTGGAGATTCTTATTCCCTATTGAGTATCTAATTGGTTGGCTAATCTGATTGACTTTTGGTTGAATTCTCTTCTGAAGTGAAAAAAGGCAGCCTTACAGTTGAATAAATGGATGTTGTTTTGAAGGACATTAGAGAAGAAAAGAAAAAAAAGAGAAAGAAAAAGTTGTGTTATATTTTTATTAACCTGGATTGAAACCTGAACATCTGAAGTAATTTGTCTTGATCTTTTGGGGGAGACATTTTTATTTTTCTTTCTTGAGGAAAAAGATTTTGTGGAGTCATTTTACGCATCTTAAACATCTTAAGTATCAAAATACAGGGAAGCATAAAATATCAATATATATGGAACCTAAAATTAGAACAGATAAGAAGTAAATACATTTCATGTGATAATTAAAATTTTTCCATGGCTTGGACTCATGAGCATTTACAACTCAGGTTATGAAAAGTAAGTGTAAGATATTACTTCAGTGTCAATCTCTGTTTTAGAAAGAAAGCATTGATTTGCAAATCAGTTAAATTGTTTTTGAAAAGTTCATTTTCTCTCTGAAAGTCATCTTTCAACTCCTAACCTAAAGCTAACTAAGCTGTATAATAGATAGGTGCAGCTAAAAATGTACAGGGATCTTCTCCTTTCCCTGTGCCCAATTAAACATTGGTTACTGTGTATAAATATTTTTTTTTCTGTAGCAATTACTGTTCCAAGACCTACAGCAATGCCTGGTAGTCATTTTACAGATGTTAACTCAGCCACACATAGTTAAGCCCATGTCCCCTCAAATTCCTGTGTTGCCTGCTATGGACTATAGCAGTGATACATCCTGTGAGCTCTGCAGACCCTCTGAAGTGATGTTATCTGGGGCTGTGTAGATTCCAAAGTGCGTTTTTAAGATATAATTATTCTAAATGTTATTAATACTTTGCATTTTCAGAGGAATGTATATATTCCTGAGCAACTTAAGAGTTGTGTTCATGCATCAGAAGCTTTCTGAATTGTGATATTAACATGTTAAATCTTATGGTTAAAAAAGGTTTTGGCTCTTGCTGTTGAAAAGAGAAACTTAAGAGTATATGTATAGGTGATGCTCTTTCCCAAACGTGTACAGAACCTGCACCAGTTCCTAAAGGCACATTGTTTCATCCAACTGCCTTGCCTTTTTAATTCCAGTGCCACCATCCCAGTACATCTCATACCTTCTGCTGTAGCCAGGGTGTGAGGGGGTGTGTGGTCATGGCTGCTGTGGGTTGATAGGTTTTTGATTAGCTGGTGAAGCAGAGAAACAACAGCACAGGGGATCAAGATCCAGGATGCTGCGTGCAAATAACTGTTAGAAACAGCTGATAATGACAGATGTTTGGAAGGGAAGGAGGAGATCCTGCTTTCTCTCTTCCTTCAGCTGCTTATGCTTTTCTGCTTTCCCCACAACTGGGCATCAGTACAGGTCTTTGGAGTCCATCCCTGCACAGCTACGTGGCATTTTCAGGTAGGAGATGACGTATCACCAAGAAGTTACAAAATCAACTTGGTCTTGCCTACCCACCCCCTGCTGCCTGAGCTGAAAGTTTTGTGCCGATTGTATTGGGTGCAGTGGTGTGAAACTCTTATCGCACAACTTCTGTATTTCCGTACATGAGAATATCATGCTTTGTCTTTTATTGGCAAAAGTGGCAATGATTACTTCCAACATATGTTTATCTATTTGGACTTGGATGTCTGCAGGATAAGAAAAATAATTGTGAATTAAAAGTCTAGACTCCGACAGTATTTGGCAAATAGTAAAACGGAGCACACAATAAGAAACTTATGTGAGAGTTCTTCTAGAGAAACTAATTGTAGGAAAGTGTATCAGCACCAATTACAACAGTGAAGTCTATCTTTCTGGAAAGGTCTGCCAAAGTCATTGATGAAGATAAAATCCAATCTTTCCTGAGCTGCTTTGTGTGATTGTGTGCCAAAGATGATATGCTGAAGGAATCGTAGACTTTACGCCAAGTTCTGTGGGATTTAAGCATTGCTTGTTAACTAGAGGAAATTTTTTCTTTGAGTTGCATAAATTAACCTTTCTTCTAACAATTTATCTTTTGTTTATGTGTTACTGTTCCTTGTTCATTTGTACTGTCATCATCATTCTCTCCCCACCCCCCATGCACTAGTCACTTTTCATACCACAGGGAGAAAAATTCTGCATCAAAAGGGCTGGCACAGCACACGCTGCAGATAAGAACGCGAGTACTGTGTTGGATCAGATAAAAGATCCAGAACTCAGTAATCCTGACAGTGATGAATAACATGGAGAAGTGTAAGACTCAGCTCCTGTATGCAGTGAACATTCCTTGATGTAGCCACATACAAACTGATTAGAAATCCATTCCTAGGTTTGTTTGGTTTTAACATATAGGTACTGATAGCTATACATTTTATTCTGTAGAATATGTAACTATTTTTGAGTATTCATGGTAAACCCAAAAGCATTTCTGGTGTCTTTCAGGCGAAGAAGTACTGGGCTGAAAAAGGAAGGCACTAATGTGTTATCTTTTATATAGAGTGCATTGTATAAGCTTAGTGTTCATTTTCAGAGCAAAAGAAAGAACAAGCATAAATTTGAAATTGTGAGAATCATGTTGTTAATACATATGGCGTGTAACTATTATAAAAGACCTTATTCTAATGCCAGTACCTGATAAGAACAGCAAGAGATGTATGACCAGTGTGGGCTGCTGCCACTGACTCACTATGTAATGACAGGCAAATTACTCGGTTTTCTGCATCTTGTTCTACTCCTTTATAAATGAGAAATATTGTTTCCCAGTAAAACTCTGAGATCATTGGATAAAAGGAGATTATTTTTTTTGGTACGCCTACTGAGTATATAAATTTGAAGTTAGAAAGTGCAGCAAATACCAGGTTCTGTACAAGTCTTTTACCAGTACAGACACAGTACGATGAGTCCTGTGCTCATTATGGATTGTCTTAAACCATGTAGTACTTTGAAGACCTCTGTAATGCACAAGCAAAAATAGGGGGTTAGGTCAGACTTGGCACTTCAGTGTGTATTCTGTTCAGGTTTTTTTCTTAGTTAAGTACAGTTTCAGTAAAACTTCTCTGATGTCTGCACTGATAACTACCATTCCATTTTGTTTGATATACCAGACATTGCACCACCTTCAGATGAAATAGTACAGGGAACCCTTTAGATTAGTTTTCTATCACTCTCCCATCACCTCTTTCACATTGTGTCTTTGGCTGTGTTTTATCACTGAATTTTCGTAGTGTTTTGGGGAATTTGACCTTTTCAGAATTGTTAACACTATAGTCTTAATCTTTTCCCTGGCACCTCCTGAAACAAAATACAAATTAATGATTCAGACACCACAAAACAAATCACATGCCATTTGTTTCTTCCCAACGATTCTTCATTGTCATTGTTTGCTCTGTTGTATGCAAGTCCTTGTGTATTCTCTGGTGAAAGGGACCTAAA